ACACACACACACACACACACACACACACACACACACACACACACACGATGCTGGAGCAATGTGTTTAAGGAGAGCAGAAATTAACTCCAGCCAGGCACGGTGGTGCTGCCCTACAGTCTCAGATACTTGGGATATGGAGGCAGAAGATCAAGAGTCTAAGGGCAGCCTAAAGCCCAGGTCCTTGGAAAGCAGGAGAAAGGAACTCAACATACACCAGGCTGCCTACAGATCAAACAACAGGCACTGCCATGCCATGTTAATTACCACAGAACTGGAACCAGAATCAGAGCCAGAAGACGACCCCGGGATGAAACCTAAGGTAGGGGAAGAAAATGCAGTTCAAGACCATGAAAGGGGCACTGGAGAGATGGTCCCGCGGTCAGGGGCACTGGCTGCACTTGCAGAGGACGCAGGTTGAATCCCCAGCACCTATGTGGCGGCTCACAATCATGTGCAACTCCCGATCTAGAGCGGATCTGAAACCTCTTCCCATGTCTGTGTACACCAAGCACATACTTGTCGCACATGCATACATGCAGACAAAGCACTCACACACACAAAATTAAACAAATACAAAAGGTAATAAAAGGTGGGACGACAACAGGGCAGATTCGGTGGCAGTCCACCCGACCCATCTTCAGGAGCGGAGCCACCGCCTCAGGATGAACTCCAGCTCCAGTTCTGCCCAGCGCCCCAGTCACAGGGCCTCATCAGGAAACAGCAGGCTCCCTTTTCCTCTCCCTAACACATTGGCTGGAGGAATAAAAATTAAATATACATGCTCACTGATGTCAAAGATTCAAGGCAGGGTTATCTGCGTGTGTAAAAGGGCTCATCTTTATCTGGTACTTGGAGGTGGGCAAGGCATATCAGGAAAGGGCCAAGGAGGGTGTTGCTGTCCATCACTGGCTATTCACTAGGGCACCAAATTGAGGGGTGGGGTGGAACTTACATCTAGACTCTAAGCAAATCTCTTTTTTGTCCTTTCAGCTGTTTTCGAGAGAGGCTGTGAGATAGAAAACAGGAAATGGGAAGAAGCCTGAAGAACATGCAGGGAGGAGGGAGGGCATCGGTGTATTTGTTTGGTGGGGTACTGAATTGACAATGACACTGCAAGTAAGGCTTCTGGTCCGTCAACCACACAGCAAACGCTTTCATTGCTACTACAGTCACCAACAGCTCTGCCCACCTCACACGATAAAGCACTGGCTTTCATTATCACCAAGGACCCTTCTCTGGGGAGGTCCTGGACAACCTGAGGACCCAAGGAAACACAAAGCCTGCTGACAGCAGGGTCACAGTGGCAGGTGAGACCCCAGTTCCCACCAAATCCAAACAAGGCCTCGTCCTCAGGTTCAGGTGAACCAGCTGACGCTGAAACCACTGCTCAGACCCTGTACACCTATGTGTTTTCAGGACAACAAAAAGGGAGACAACAGGAGACACCACCACTCTGAGGAACACTCAGGGCTTCGGAGAAGAAGAGCGAATAGACTCACAAGCCAAGCTTCTAACACTGACATAAACCTAAGAACAAGTCAGAAGTGTGAGTGAGCCTCAGCAGTGGGGCACGTGCCCAGGACACATGAGGCCCTGGGTTTATCCCTCAGCAGAGAAAGGGAAAAAGCTGGGGGAAGGGAAGGAAACATGAAGCATGCCTCGAGAGGTATCAGGGAAGCAGGGCAGGACATGCTGAACAGATCTGAAGAGACAGATGGGAAAGGCAGACATGTGAGGCGAAGGAGTATAAAAAGGCACGGAGGAGCAGAGAGGCACTAGGCCCACACACTGGTCAGAAGAGAATGAGCTTGAAGGGCAGGGCACAGGCAGGAGGGGCCCTGAAGGGACAGCAGGCAGCAGAGCAGGTCACAGAAATCACCTCCAGAGCCAATGGGAGCAGGGTCCACAGGTACCCTGAGGGGCTCAAAGACTGAGAGGAAAACGAACAAGTAACTAGGTCATTATTACTTAAGGCACAAGAGCTCAGGGTGGGCAGTTTGTCCCCTTTGTCCCTCACCTGCCCATCTGCCCAGTGTCACAAGTGCCTGCTCAAAACCATCACTTCAGTTCTGTTTGCTTAAATACCACTTTTTAATTCAAATGAGCCCAAAAAATCTTTAACATTTTTCAAATGTTGTTGGTGCTCGAGCCAACAGCAAACTTTCATTAATTCAATAGAAATGCGACCCCACTGTGTGTACCAGGCTTTGCTCACCCGACCATTTTCTGCAGCTCATAGTCACAAACCCTGGCTCCCCACTGGGGTGAGCTGGAGAAGCCTCCCAGCCTTGTCCCGGGGACTCAGATGCACCTGCTTAGTGCGGATGAGCTAGGTCACAGAACACGCACCTCACTGCTGTCTGCCTTAATAAAAATAAGTAAGTAAAACAAAGTAAATGCTGAGGGTCTTATGCCTCGAGAACGCAGTCAGGAAAAGGGTGAGCGATGCCGGACAAAACTGGAACAACTGACAATTCTAGTTCTGGAAGGAGGAAGGAAATACATTTTCTTCTCAGACCTAAGAAAAGGTTTACAATCCAAAAGGAAGTAAGCCAGTGCCAAAAACAAAAGCAGTTTACAAGTGGCTTGTTTTTAAAAACTGGGGGTGGCTAACAATTTGAATTTATGCAAAAATCATGCATAAAATTTGCAAACCAAACTCCCTAATTTTGAAAATAGTAAAGGACATCAAGAAGTCTGAACACTGCCACAACCCTGACATCTTTATATGAAACCAGGGTTAGATACGGCAAAGTCTGCCTCTGAACAGACCCACAGCGAAATTTTTGAAAAAACAATTATTTCTTTACATTGATTAGGGGGCGGGTACGCATGCCATCAGTCAAGTGTCGGGGTCAGAAGACAGACAACATGTCAGTTCTCTCTCTCTGCCACGTGGGCCTCAGTGTCACACTCAGATCCCTGGGCTGGGCAGCAAGTGCCTTCACCAGCTCAGCCATTTCCCCAGCCCACATTAAGCTTTTTAAAACAAAGTTTTGGCAAACATAACCTGCCAGCCCCATCCTGGTGACTCCCCCCACACCTCCTCCCTGACTCCAGCAGCCTTTTGCAAACTGAAGAAAGGTCATGTGACTCTCAAGTGGACACTGTGAGCTTCAGTCTAAGGAAGAGCAGGATGGGCCTGGTCTCTCTATAGAATGTGAAGTAGGAAATGTGACAAGAACTGGCTGCTCAAAAACTGAAAGATGCAGCAAGAAACGCCACAGAGCTAAACTAGACCCAAAGGCTTGTGGCCCGCTCAGCAGGCCCATGAGCTGGGGCCAAAGGAGAGGGAAACACAGACAGCAGCATCAGTGGGTGGTGGGACAGAATGGCTGCAGTGAAGCTCCAAGGACAGCTGCCAGGAGCCACCCTCTGAGGCCAGCCTCAGCCTGGGGGAGCAAGACAGGGTCCCCAGGGGTGAAGTTCCAGGGATAGCAGATTGCTGCCAGGAGCCACCCTCCACTAACAGGCTCCAGCCTGTCCCAGCGGGAATTCCTGAACTTCTGTGTGATTCCTATCACACCACGTGTGCCTGTCCCTGTAACAAAACTCCTTTCAAGTAGGTTGGGGGAGGAGAGGTGTGCAGGGGAGAGGACAGACTGCTTCATACAACCAAAAGCCAAGACAGCATGCAAACACAAAAGCATTTTCTCACTACTTACACAAAATATTTAAGGGAAATACGGAACTATTTTTAGGATAAAAAGCTCCCACCCGTAAAACAGACAAGCCTCACACCTGACAAGGAGTCATCTACAGCAAAGGATGCAAATGCCCCTCCCTGAGAGAGGTGTAGGCGACTGTTTAAAACTGAGGAAACTGCAGGGCTACATGAGGCCTCCCCACTACGCATAAGCAATACCTCAATCAGGGAAAACGCAAGCAATGGCCCCGTGAGAGGTTCTGAGTGAGTGTTTATTCTGCTTTTCAAGACTACTGAGCTAACTGATCTCGAGGCAGGAGAACCTGAGCTTTTCTACAAAAAAAAAAAAAAAAAAAAAAAAAGCAGAAACGGGCATAGTCACCCAGAGCTAAGAGTGAAGGCGGCAGCTGAGCAGAATGGTGCACAGCTGTGATGGCCAGACTTGGGAGCCTGAAGCAGGAAGAGCCTGAGTTCCAGGCCAGCCTGGGATATTCATTCTGACAGGAATGGGCACAGACCCCAGATGGAGCTCATCTCCCTACTGGGCTATGCATGCTCTGAGCCTGGTGACAGCGGCATGGGTGTGCCCGGGGTGCATATGTAGACGCACTCTCCCGGGGTGCCGTACGTTTCATACATACGGGCCTCACACCGTAACCGTAACACAAATGAAAAGATACCGAATGCTCAGCGGTAATTTACAAGAGATCAGAAATAGCGCTTGGCTTGTTTTGAATCTAGCAGAATGCCTGTCAGCCTGATTCAGGTAGCTAAAAGACACATCAGCTACACTATTTGTGGAATTCTGGTTTGAACTGTAGATTTGCTATTTGGTGGGAAAACTTACTGAAAAGAACTACTTATTCAAACCAGCGAAACTTCATCCCACAGTGCTCAGTCCTGAGATCAACTGAGGTGAATTCCCTCAGGGCCAGAGCTCTCTCCCAAACAAACAGCCTAAGGAAAGAACCATCCTCACTCCGGCACTCCCCTCCTCATTCCCAGTCCTCATTCCATGTCCAGCAGCTAGTTGAACAAAGAAAACCAGCCAAATTCACAGGTCAGGGTCCCATTTCTGTGTTCTCCAAGGGTGAATGATGGAAGCCTACACATCACCCCAGATAAACTGCAAAAACACAATGTCCAGATTTGCAGTTTCAGAAGCTTATATTTTAAAAACATCACAGACTCTGGACAGAGGTCCCAACCAGAAACAGAGCAGAGCAGGTGAAGCAATGATAACAAAGAACATTGTTTGCAGATCATCCAAGTTTAATCTTAAAAAGCAAAGTAAACGGAAATGTGAAGTACTTACAGCCATAATTAACTCAAAGGGATGTTTATACACCCGCACTGGGGACTGGTATTTCTGCACCATGGTTGTAATTCAATAGCAATCTTCTTACTCCTAAAAAACAAAAATATGTGTAATAAATAACCACATTACAGGAAAAAGTGAGTCTGAATTCATACGTCATACCTAATCCTAGAGACCACCACAGATCATAATCTCACACACACACACACACACACACACACACACACACACGAGGGTATGCTGAAACAGTCTGATGGGGGAAGTAACAAGGCACTAATAAGCAAAGAAGGCCCACATAGAGGGGCAGCAGCTCTGCCCCTTGTATCGGAGACCTGGGTCTCTCTAGCCTGGGTCAGCAAATCTAGTCCTTGACAGCAATGAAGTCCTAGGATTCAACTATTCTATTTTCTCTCAAACAACTTCTACAAGGAGCCAAATAAAAATAGTAACATGTTAAGGCATAAGCTCTGGAGATAACACAAAAAGCGGGCGGGGGAGGGGGAGTACTACTGCTTCTCAAATTATGGAATACTCCTCAAGAGCTGCCTTCAAAGGGAACTTTGTTGATTCTTTTCTAACTGCATGCTCCATTTTCAGAGTCAGTCTACAAATGGCAGGGAGGCTGCCCAGTTTCAGCTAAAGGGGCTCCAAAACCCTCCAGCCTCCTGAAGCTGTGATCCTGCAAAGTAATCAATTCCATGCTGCAGCCTGAGGTCAAGGAACCCTCCCTTTGCATACACAATCACTCTAGTGCTGGCAAGGGTGGCTTTCTCTGCAAGCACCCAGTGTTCAGAGTCATCTGGAACAGTTAGCTCACCTACTTAAAAGAGGGGGAGAAAAGGGGGGGGGGAAGGGGGAGGAAGGAAGTCCCCACTGAGCCCACCAATCCTGCGGAGTCTCAGTCAGTAAGGATGTTCAAAAAGATATTCAAAAGTTCAAGACCGAGGATCTAAGCATCCCCAATTCTGGCGGTAAAAAAACAAAACAAAACAAAAGAAGCCTATCTGATGTACTTCAGAACTGCTATCTACGAAGCTGCACTTCTACAGTGTTTGCATTGCTTTAAACAGGTCTGGAACTTTCTCTGGTATGTTTGCTTAGCATACAGCTCTCAGAAGGAGTAGGTTAGGCTGGAAAACCACCCTCCAACAGTTGGAAAACTACGAAGGCTACAAACTCCGAGTGACCTCAAGCATGCCATTCGCCTTTCCTGATTCCGTCTCCGTGAGGCGAGCTTACACTCCCAGCTCTCATACCATGAGGCTTGTGAGCCAAACTCCTCAGTTCTCCTCCAAACTCAAGCCTTCATTAATCTTGATTCAGGCGCTGACGCGTCCTGGAGCGCGGAGACCGCGTTCCATTCACTCTCGTAAACCTTACAACGCTGGTGCGCGGTAGGGAATCTAACAATCGTTTACATTTTTTAATTGAGAAAATTCGTTTTCAGGTATCTCCCAAATAAAAGGAGAATGATTACCGGGTGCTGACGGGTAGGGAAGAAGATGCAAGCACTGCGTGATGCCTGGATTAAGAAAGTCTTACCCAAAGTGACTACACTGAAGGACCAGCTTGTTCGCCAGCTCCCTGAACTCGGGCCAGATTCGGCTTTGGGGGGACTGGTCCAGATCCACGCCCTGCGCGGGCATCCGAAGTGACCACCGCCAAATGGCACCGGAGGCTGGGGCTGTCTCTATTGCATGATAATTGGTGCTTGAAAATCAACCCCGGGTCGGCCCCGGGGGAGCGCCTCCCTGCAGGCCGGGGCTGGACGGAGGGGGCGGGCCGGGGCCAGGCGGCGGTGGTGCCGAGGGACCCCGCGGGCTCCGACGTCCCGGAGGGGGCGAGCGCCTCCCGCCGCCGCGGCAGAGGGACCCCGCCGGGGGTGGGGGATCGGGAGCGCTCCCAGCCCTCCACGGCGACGCTCGCTTACCTCTTGTCAGAAGGACCGGGTCGGGGACGCGGGGCGGCGGGATGCGTTCATGCCGGCGGCTCCGCGGGGAGAGAGCCGTGCCTCAGGCTCGGCTGCCGCCGCTCGACCGCCGGTTCCGGGGACGGGGGCCGGGGCGGGAGGGCCGAGGGGCGCGGCGAAGGCTCGAGTGGTTGTTACGGGTGACGGGGAGGGAGGGGCGAGCCCCGGGGGGCGCGCGTGCGCACAGCGGGCCGAGGGGGCGGGGGAAGGAGCGGGAGGCGGTTGCTAGGGAGGGGGAGGAGCGGCCTCCTGGCTGGAGTCCGTACTGCGCCGGCGCGAGTTGCCGACCTGCGCGTGCGTAGGAGGAGCTTCGGAAGTCCGCCCTGACGCGGAACGAGCCCCGGAGGCTCCTTCTCTTTGCGTCACGGGGAAGGGAGGGGCGATCGAGGTGGGCGGGGCTTCGCATTTGGCGGCCGCGGACCACGGGAAGAAATTCGAAACGCGAATCCCGGCCGGGGTCTCTCCAGGGAGCGGGGCCTGGGACCTCAGCAGGACTTCAGCTAAGCCGGCCCTCCAGCATGGACGCCGCGCGCCTGCGCAGTCTGGATCTTCCCCATGTGCTTCCTCGTTTTTTCCCTGGACGGCTCAGAAGCATCCTGTATCCCTATAGTGCCCCGACTGCATTCTGGCCTGCTAATAGAGATGGAGCAAACAGGGTGGGGAGGAGCCCAAGCACCCTCGTTAGCACGTGCAGATGGCTGGGGAATGTCTGACTGGGGTGGAGCGAAAGCGAGGGACCTCAGTGGCCTGCCAGGTGTGCCTTGCCTTTCAACACCTCCAACTTTAAAGCTTAAGAGCGACGCACAGAGACATTTCGGGGTCCTGAAGAAGGGCGGGTGACGATAGGCGGACGCCTGGCGCATCCGCCCACACAGCCACGCTGGTTTTAGAAGCAACACACAGTTTCTCCATCAATGCCACTGTTGTTCCGTTTACATTAGTCACCCAGGGTGGCCGGCTGGACTTTCAAGGTTCCCTTTGCGCAGAAGAGGCTGGGAGTTTCCTTCGGGACCTGTTTCCCCGCCCCACGGGCGTGTCATTCGTTGCTGCATCACACTTTGGTTTTCCAGCGTGGACCATCGTTTTCCGGCTACCCACGCTACTCAGACCGGATGTGACCTGTGCCCACGTGTAGGGATCACTTGCTTTAACAGATGCTGTGGAGGAGACTTTGGTAATGTGAGCCCTCCATAGGAGCGAATGGCAGCGCCTGTTGAGACGGTCCAGAGCTCACCATTCTCACTGAGCTACACATGCAACCACAAATTTAGAGGAAATGGAGAAAAGAGGACACCGACCTCACAAAACAACGTATTCTTTGCTTTTTCAACACAGGGTTTTTCAGTGTAGTCTTGTCTGTCCTGGTGAACTCACAGAGATCCGCCTGCCCCTCCCTCCCTGAGAGCTGGGATTACAGCCATGGGCCACTGTGCCCGGCTAAACAAACATTCTTTGTCAAATAATTTCTAAAGAACGATGAGGGAAATCTAATTGATGGATTAAGAGGAACTGGGGGATTCATTTAGTCGGTCAATTGTGTTCTTAACTTTACTGACTGCTTTCCATAGAGCCTGGGTTTGCTTCCCAGTACCCGCCTGGCAGGTCACAACCAACTATAACTCTAGCCCCAAGAAATCTGATGCCCTCTCCTGCCCTCCTCTGGCATTTCATGCCTTCATCCTCGGAGTGGTGGTACATGCTTTTAATCCCAACATCAGGCAGAAGCATGTGGATCTCTGTGACTCAGAGGCCAGCCAGCACTACCTAGTGAGATCCTGACTCCAAAAGAAAACACTAATGTATGAGAGAGAGAGAGCGAAAGAAAGAAAAAGAAAGAAAGGAAAGAAAGAAATAAAGAAAAGAAGGAAGGACAATAAAGAAAAGGACAGCCAGGGCTACACAAATAAACCCTGTCTACAAAACAAAACAGCTGAGCCATCTTACCAGGCCCTACTGAAGTAACAATTTTAAATAAAAACATCTGTTTAGATTATAACATGGTATATTTAAGAGAGGGTGTGGTTTGCTTTTTCTGTTTATTTGTTTTGTGGTGCTGATGTTCAACCCAAGTTTCACATAGGCCAAGCAGGTGTTTTGCCATTTAGCTTACACACCCATCCCATTTGATTATTTTGAAATTCATGCTATTGATCAGGTGCCAAAAATCTGTAAGGACCTCTGTATAACTACAGTTAATGACTGGCCTGGGGCTTGTGATTCTCTGCATGTGAGTTCTTGTTCCCTATACACTGAGAGAGGAATGTGACAGTAGGACGGAGGGAATCGTGCTGTGACTCAGTCTGGCTGCCTGTGATCCAAAGCCCACAGCGAAAGTGTGATCAGAGGCATTGTTGTCTCAGCTTACGTGGATAAGGCCCAGAGTGGCAAGGCATCTATCTACCTCCACAGCCGAATGTCAGCACTTCAGATGACCGCCCAAGGGCCCTGCAGATGAACCAGAGCACAGGCAACAAAACCTCCTGGGCACCTGTAACCGGGCACTCCACACAGGCGCCTGGCTGAGAGGCAGGGAGGTCTGCAGGTTTAACGATTTCCACTGAAACATTCAAGGCGTGTCTTATGGCTGGTGTCTGATAGGACTGGGCTGAGTTTGTGATGTAATGGTTAAGCCATGGCCCCAGTGAGGTCCTGAATCCTGCTTGGTAAAATTGAAAACAGTTGTTGGGTAAGCGCACTGCTCGCCCGGGAGAGCAGTCCGATGTCCTGAGAGTGGGGGGGTGAGGGGTGAGAAGTGGAGAGAATTACTTGCCAAAATGAGACTCTTGTGCTGGAGTGAATTCTATATGCATCTTGTGAGGCAGCACTGACTGTCGCCATATTAAATAGCAAGTGTTCCCACGATAAACTAGGAAGTCTCAGGTCTCAGTCCGGAGGGGTTGAGCCACGTGGATGCAGGTGTCTAATTGGAAAGGGACATCTGTTCCCACTATCTTGCTGCTTGCCTTTGCTACAAAGCATCTTCCCCCTCCAACTACCCCTCAGGAGGAAGAAGTGAAGGTCAAACATCCTCCCGAAATATGTTTCCCTGGAGGAGGTGGGGGGGGGGGGAAGCTTCCCTTATATCCACTGGCCAGAATTTATTCACATGGGGCACACACGACTGACAGGAGGGCTGGACATGCCATGTAACCTACATTCCGAGTTGCTACATATCCAGGTAAAAATAAATAGTTCCTGTTCACCTGAAAGAGCAGAGGATGGGTGCTGAGGGCAACTAACAGTCTCTCGTTAATGACGCAAGCAAACTAGTCTGGTCCAGCAGTGCTTGAAAATGTTCAATACAAAAGGAAGGGAGAACTAGGGGCTCAGTTGGTAGAGCTCCTGCCTGGCCCTAGATGCCATCCCTGGCATTCCATAAGCAGGATGTGGTGGCAAAGGTCTGTAGTCTCAGCATGTGGGAGGTAGAGGCAGGAGAATCATCCTTAGCTACGCAGCAAGTTCAAGGCCAGCTTGGGCTACTTAAGACATTTTCATTAAGAAAGAGAGAGAGAAACAGGCCCTGGAAACATCCTTGAGGAGTTGAGGAAGGCCTCATAGAGGGAAAGTGATGAAAGAGGGATTATCCAAAGGCAAGATGAAGTTAGTGGTTGGACTATTTTTATCCCTAAGAGTATGTATGCACACAGAGACAAAGAGAAGGCCAAGGGCAGAGTTCCAAAGAACTCAAGCTCATGCCTCTAATCCCAGGATTTAGGAGACTGAGGCAGAAGGATTTCTGTGAGTTTGAGGCCAGCCTGGTCTACAAAGTGAGTTCCATGGCAGCTAAGACTGCATAGAAAAATCAACACAAAACAAAGAACAACAACAAAAAAAAAAAAAACAAAAAAAAAAACAGTTGGAGCATGGGGCCTGGAGAGATTGCTTGCTGGTTAAGAGTACTCCCTCTTTGTGCAGAAGACAAGAACGGTTCTCAGCAGCACCAGCTTCCTGGGAATCTAACGTCTGTGGCCCCCATGGGCACATGCACTCATGTGCACACACACACACACACACACACACACACACACACACACACACACAATTAAAAGATAAGATAACCCTTTAGGGAAAGAGTTGGATTATGGGTAAGAACCAGAGATAAGACAGTTAAACAGCTGGAGAAGTGAAATAGCAGCAGGAAAACACGTCACCGTCTCCTGGTCACAAAGGAGGAGCTGAAAGTCATGTGTCCTCAACAGACCAAAAGCCGAAGATGCTGGTGAGAATAAGAGAGAGTTCTTGGGCTTTGGCCATCATAGGATCATGACTCCTTAGTGGTCAGGAATTCTTCAGGACTCAGGGACAGGAGACAGACTCCAGTGGGTTAAGGAGGGAATAGGGATCAGGATATGATGCAAAGACTCAAGTCATGTGATGACACATCTTACAAAAACAAACCCAGAAAAGAACCACCCAGACTGTTTATGGGTTTCTAGGGTTGCTCCAGTGCCACTTCTCCTTTCTTTAGATTCCCTGAGTGACTAGTGTCACCCGTGGGCCAGCAAAGGGCAGTATTAATGCTGTGTGAGTCCCTCCATAATCCAAAGTTCCACAAGTGCAGTGAGGGCAGCTGCTGCTGTCCTCCTGTCTGTACACATCTCTCTTTCTCTCACCAGAGTCTTGTCATTGTGGGAGGATTGCTAAATGCCTCAGATGTCCTGAAAGACGCTGTGTCAGGCCCCATCTGATAGGTGCCCATAGGACAAAGGCTGAGGAGTACCAGGTCCTAGCAACCATGCCAAGGTGCTTGCTCCTTTGGGCTGCTGGGTTGAGATACCTCTTCCCATCAGAAGCCTAGGCATGAGGCTATCATTCCTTGGCTCCTCTGGCTTATAGCCTTCATTCACACCCTCATAGGCCTCAACGTGTCAGCACTGTGGCACGTGATACCCTTGCCAGGGGAAGGGATGCTATTGATGGTTTTTAGACCACATCTTTTCCATGCCCCTCATTAGGAATCCTCTCAATGAAAGCATGAGGAGCTGGTGGCTCAAGAGTCCTGGAGGCAGTGATTAGGGAAGGGTCACCACAGGGTCAGCCTCCAGGGCCCAACCTCTTCACAGCCCAAAGAAAGGCAAGAACAATTCCATGGTGGGATGCTAACAATCAAGGTTAC